TTGGGAAGCAGCAGCTGGAGACTCCGGCGCTCGCCATGGCCGACACAAAGCCCAAGGAAGGAGCCAAGACTGAGAATAACGACCATACGAATTTGAAGGTGGCGGGGCAGGGCGGTTCTGGGGTGCCGCTTAAGATTAAGAGGCACACACCACTTAGTAAACTAAGGAAAGCCTATTGTGAATGACAGGGTTTGTCAATGAGGCAGATCAGATTCCGACTTGACGGGCAGCCAGCCAATCAATGAAACAGACACACCTGCACAGTTGGACATGGAGGAGGAAGATACAGTCGATGTGTCCCAGCAGCAGACAGGTGTCTGCTAAAAAGGGAACCTGCTGTGTACTCCAGAACTCTTCCTCCAGACCAAGAAGACATTCTCAATTAGAAAACTGCAATTTGGTTTCAACACATCTGACTGCCACCGTATCGTTTTCTCCATTCTTTCCTTTCCCCTTCCCCATTCCTTTATTGTACATAAAGTAACTGATGTATGTGCACCAGCATTTGCATTTTTTTTAAACTACATGGCCAATGGTTATGTTTTGATCTACAGCAAATGGAGATGGGATGGGGAAAATACTGGATCTGTGAAAACACCCCCTTTCTCCATTCGTGGCATGCTCATGCAGCTCTTACCTTTATATTCCGGTAAGTTATTTTACTCTCGCTGTTTAACAAAAAAGAACAACATAAAAATTCGTGCATACCTTGTTTGATTGAAGAATTTTAATGTGTTTCATTTATCATTGTAAAACCAAGGACAATTTTATAACTTTTTTGTACATAGCTGTTACATGTAGGGCAATCTGTTTTTAAGCAGGGATAGATTACTCTAAAAAAATGAATCCTAGTTTTCCTTTCAAGTGTCTTGTTGTTTAAATAAACTTGTTTCAAAAGAAAACACACAAAAAACAAAAAAACAGGAAACAGTGCCCATATTTACCTAAGTCAGCTCCCTCAAATTCACCATGCCCTCTTGGGAATTTAGGTTTCTTTCTCCACCATGCACACCAAAACAAACTCAGGTGTGGCCTGGCTTTCACTATCTGCCAGGAAGGGGAATGTTGAGGTCCAGAGTGCAGACTTGCCCAGAGCCACCCAGGCCACAGCGTACCTGCCCACTTCCTGCAGCGGGAGGGGCAGGGCAGTGGGCGTCCCCGGGTGCCCTCCCCAAGGTCCTTTATGCTCTCCTTCTTCCCCCTCAGCTCAGGGGCTATGCTGGCCCCTGGTCCTGCGAGCCATTCCCTATCTCCTGGAACCACCAGACTTTCCAGTCCTGGCTCTACCCTCTGGGCTATCAACTGTCGATTCGGTGCCAGACCACCATAATAAAGCGAATGTTGAAATAGAGTGAGCCATGGGAAGTTTTGGCTTCCTAGTACATAGAAAAGCCATGTTTACACTATACTGTAGCCTTTTATTATTTTTTAAATATATTCTTTATTGATTTCAGAGAGAAAGGGAGAGGGAAAGATAGAAACATCAGTGATGAGAGGGAATCATTGATTGGCTGCCCCCTGCACGCCCCCTACTGGGGATGGAGCCTGAAACCCCAGCATGTGTCCTGACCAGGAATCAACCCATGTCCTTCTGCTTCATGAGTCGAAGCTCACCCACTGAGCCACACCGGCCAGGCTACTGTAGCCTTTTAAGTAATAATAGCATTATGTCTAAAATAATGCACATAACTTAGTTTACAAAGACTTGATTGCTAAAAATGCTAGCCATTATCTGAGCCTTCAGCAAGCTGTAACCTTGTTGCTGGTGGAGGGTCTTGCCTCGATGCTGATGGTTGCTGACTGATCGGGGTGGTGGTTGCTGAAGGGTGGGGCGACTGGGGCAATTTCTTAAAATAAGACAATGAAGTTTGCCCTAGTTGACTTTTCCCTTCACAAACAATTTCTCTGTAGCATGTGATGCTACTGGTAGCATTTTACCACAGAACTTAAAACTGGAAATCTCAGATCCTCTCAACCCCTGCTGCCGCTGTCAATCAGTTCACGTGCTAATCTCATTCCAGCAGTCTTCCCAGCATCTTCCCAGCAGCAGAGACTCAGAGACCAGATGCTGTTGGAAAACGCTTGCTCGAGGCAAGGTTGCCAGAATCCTTTAATTTGTTGGGAAAAAAAAGCAGTATTTGTGAACTGCAATAAAGCGCAAAAATGCAAGGTAAGCCTGTAATCTGCTTTTCCTCCTCTTCCGGGTAGTACATTTATTTTATTTTTATTTTTTTAAATATATTTTTATAGATTTCAGAGAGAAAGGGAGAGGGAGAGAAACATCACTGATGAGAATCATGGATCGGCTGCCTCCTGCACGCCCCCTACTGGGGATCGAGCCCGCAACCCGGGATTGTGCCCTTGACTGGAATGGAACCTGGGACTCTTCAGTCCACAGGCCAACACTCTATCCACTGAGCCAAACTGGCTAGGACAGTACATATATTTTAAAAATTGGTTTTAGAGAGCGAGAGAAACATCGATTTGTTGTCCCATTTATTTTTTCATTCATTGGTTGCTGCTTGTAGGTGCCCTGACTGGAGATGGAACCCATTAGTGCAGTGGTTCTCAACTTTCTGGCCCTTTAAATACAGTTCCTCATGTTGTGACCCAACCATAAAATTATTTTCGTTGCTACTTCATAACAGTAATGTTGCTACTGTTATGAATCATAATGTAAATATCTGATATGCAGAATGGTCTTAGGCGACCCCTGTGAAAGGGTCATTCGACCGCCAAAGGGGTCGCGACCCACAGGTTGAGAACCACTGCACTAGTGTATCAGTATCAGGACGATGCTCTAACCAACTGAGCTACCAGCCAGGGCAGGAGTAGCTACATTTTAACAGGCTTTCCAGAGGTGCTATCAAGATGAGGGTATTGGCTCTGTATGGGCCTGACCTTCCAGGCCCGGCCCCCCCCCCCCCCCTTAGATTCTCTGATTCAGCAGGTTGGGCCCTCGGCCTAAATCCTATGTTTTAAACAAGTGGAAACACTGAAGGGAAAACCTAGAGAAGGTCAGGAGCAGGCCAGTTGCCCTCCCTTCCCCTGAGACAGGTGCAGCGAGATGTAAGCTCCGCGCAAGCAGGCACAGCAGTGTCCTGCTCCCCACCAAGGCCTCGTTGCCAGCACAAGGCCTGGCTCACAGAGGCACAGGTCAACACAGCCCATCCCACCACCCCCTCACATCCTGCTGGTCTGCACTCCCACCTTCATGCTCCTGCCTTCGGGTGAGCTGCCTGGGCCTGGAATGAGCTTTCTCTTTCATTCGAGGCTTAGATGTTACCTCCTGGGGGACGATGACTTCCTAATAATTTGCTATTCCAGCATCCAACAAATGCTCAGAACACGCTGAGTAAACCAGAGCCATTCCAAGGCTCTTCTGGACACTGAGCAGCGACCACTAAAGGTGTCTGCTAGAGGATGGGAGTCAGGGTTCTGCCTCGGGTGTCCCAGATATCCCCACTGGGGACTTGTCTCCCCAGGGGAATGGTGGGGACGGGGCTCAGAGCTAAAGGGGCTCTGGACCCTCCACTTCAAGGGACACCATGAGGAGACGGGGAATCTGCCACCCCTGTGAGGACTGGGGCTGAGGGTGCCCTCAGTGGCCCAGCCCAGCGAAGTGCGGAGGAGATGCTCTCCCAACCAGGGACTCACCCCGCTCCTAGGGGTGAACTGCCACCACTCAAGACCTATACCTGTAGGGACAGGCATCCCCAGGAAAGAAAGGCATAGAAACAGATTTTACAGATTTATTTTTAAAAAACAAAAACAAATGGTTAAAAAAGTCCTTCATTTCCAACCCTGCCAGGGGTGTGAGTGGGGAACAGAACAAGCTGAGGAAGGCAGCCACCTCTTCCGGGGAGAGGCCCCCTGCCCCCGGGGAGCTGCTGAGGACAGGGCACGTGGGAGGCAGACCTCGCCCCTCCTGCCCTGCCTCCTCCGCGGGCAGCCGATTGCTGCGAGCAGGTTCGCAAGGCCAAGTGTGGGAGCGGGAGGCCAGAGGCTGCCTTCTCCATATGAGTGGTCACTCCAGCTCTTCTCTCCCTCCGAGGTTGTCTGGGCCTCACCACTGGGGTCCCCGGGCGGCGGGCAGGAGGCTCAGCCTGACCCAGCCCGCCCACCAGCACTGTGGCCGGCAGCTTCTTTAATGTTTGTGACAGCAGGGCAGTCGGGGGGACTTCACAGTGTGGGGAAGGGACTTTAGAGGCATCGTGGCCAGTCTGGAGAGGATCATCTAACTCGCGTTCTGATCTTGCCTCTCTGCACTGGGGCCGCCCTTCGTTTCTATTCCCCATCCTGAGGCCGAGTGGAGTCCAGGACAAAGCACTAAGTGGCTGTTTGCTACAAAACACCTGGAGATGCCAGAGAGTGGCTCTTGGCCTATCTGTCAGTCCAGGCTCCCACACAGTCATACAGTCACACACACAGCGTTTAAGGCGTCTGTGCCAGCAGGCATGGCAAACTGGGCCCAGCTTCTCTCTCTCCACCTGCCGAGGGTGAAGGGGGGAACACCTGGCTGCTTCAGAAACAAGCTGAAGGGGGAGAAGCTGGCGTCGGGAGCGTTAGCCAGGCCTGGAGAAGGAAGTGGAAGGAAGGCAGGAAGGGCTTTCAAGGCCTCCATCCAGGCCTGATGGCTGCCCTTGGAAGTAACCCAACTCAGGTTGGGAGCCCTGACCATATACCCCCTGGAAAATGGGGGACAAAGAGGGGAAGAGAGCGGGGCTAGAGTGTTGGGACTTTGGAGGAAGCCAGTGCTATCAGTATTTACAAGCATAAAGCCCCATCTTCTGCGCCACCTACCTCTCAGCCCCTCCCACAGAAAGAAAGGCCCCTGAGAGCCACCGGGAGGTGCCAACACCTCCCCACCAGCCATGCCCCACAGGGAGAGCCCCTGCCCTCCGCCTGGCCCCATGTCTGGGCCCCTCAGGAATGTCTGTCTGGCTCTGCTCAGCTGGGTGGAGGCGTCCTGGGCCAGAACCGTGGCTGCCCGGCCAGCCCTACGAGTCCTTGAGCATGTTGATGCGAGCGTAGATCTTCAGGGCGGGCCCCAGTTTGATGTTCATAGCACTCATCAGATGGTCCTCCTTGAGCAGCAGCAGGGCCTGCCCGTCGATTTCTTGGGCACGGAATTCCTCTGCTATCTCCTGGCAGCCTGACAGGGACACCACCAAAGACTGTCAATCAGAGCCCCCCAAATTCACTCTGGCAGTCCCTGCACTGCACACACATTTCAATTAGTCCTCACAATCACATCCTTATTTTATAGCTTGAAAGGCTAAGTGACTTGCCTAAGGCAGCCGGATTCCAGGATGGCCCCAGAAGTCACCTCCTTAGTCTCCATGGAGTTGTTCAGAGCCCCCCCTCGGTGAACTGGCTGGCCTGGGAGACCAATAAGGTGTTGCGGGAGTGATGGCATGTGGTTTGAGGCTAGATCACAAAGGGCACAGCGGAATCCACCTTGCTCTTCTGGATAATTTAGAGTAAGCTAGCTACCATGTTGTAAGGACACTCAAGCAGTCCTCTGGAGGCCACATGGAGGGGAACTGAGCCTCCTGCCCATAGCCAGCCCTCCATGCCATGTGAAGGAGGCACCGGGAAGTGAATCCTCCGGCCCCAAACCTCAGACACCTGCAGCTCTGGCTGATGTCTTCACCGAGACCTTGTAAGAGACCCCGTCCAGAACTGCCAGCTAAGCCACTCCATTTCCTGACCCACAGAAACCTTCCGATAATCACTCTTTTAAGCCACCAAGTTTTGGGGTAACCTGTTTCACAATAAAAATAATGCAGATTTTGGTACTTAGCAGAGGGCTGCTGCCATAACCCCTAAAAATGTGGGTTTGATCTTGGGAGCGCCAGTGGGTGGGAGCTGGGAGGACTGAGAGGAGAGTGTTAGTGAATGGCTAAGGCGCTTTCCCAAGACTGAACGCCTGATGGCCTTTGAGAAACTCCTTGGGAGTCTTAAAGGAAAGTGAGCAAACTTACTGGAAACTGGAAGAAATGGATCCTTGCTATGAATTAGAAAATGCAGCCACAGGTAAGTTTAATGTGCCCAATGAACTGAGCGGGTCAGCTAACATTTTTAGGCAGAATTTTGAAGGTGTTGCCTGGCTTCTTTTTTTTTAATGTATATATTTTTATTGATATCGTTGATTGGTTGCCTCCTGCATGCACCACACTGGGGATCAATCCTGCAACTCGGGCATGTGCCCTGACCAGGAATTGAATTGTGACTCCAATTGGTTGGCACTAAACCACTGAGCCACACCAGCCAGGCTGCCTGGCTTATTGCTGCTTAAAACAAAAGGAGAGGAGAGAGAGATAAGGTAAAGGAAAACTGTTAAAACATAAAGGAGCCAGGATTTGCTGGTTTTGAAAATCTCTAGCCTCTCTACATGGTAAATGATGCTAAAATTAAGAAATGGTTTCTAGGCAAAGATCAAATACAAGGCACGGTGTTCAAGAAAAGATGGTCTACAGATGAAACTGAGGCTGTGACTTAAATCTTTTAAGGCCTCAGAAAGATCTAAGATGCTGCCTCGAGCACAATTCAATAAAAAAACTCTTGAAGGATGTTATGGGAGTGCCTCACAGATCCTCTCCATGCATCAGCAGGGCTTCTATGACCATTCACTGTCCCTCAGCTTCAGAAGAAGCCCAATGCAGAGAGAGTTCATCTTGAAGACTTCCGTGGGTATGGTTTTTGTCTTATGAAGTGAGCCCCCAACAAGATACATGGGGGGCCAACAAATATTTTAAGAGAATCATATTGGCAGAGTGCTTCTCACTTAAACTGAAAGGGTCAGAGGTAATACAACCTGAAAAGCAGCAGGAAACAGGCTAAGAAAACTGAGGCTAGCTTTCAGAGGAGAGGAAGAATGACTCAGAGAGTGGAACCAAGAGTTAAAGACAATCACTCCCAGGTTGAGTCCTAGTGAAGGAAATGCCATGTGCACCACTAGGTTTAGGAACTGCTGCGGCAGTTTCCCCCCTTTTAAACGACACGTCTACAGTAGTTATCCTATGCCTATCTCACCCACCATATTTTGAATTTGTGAAGGAAAACGGATAACCTGTCTCTAGTCCTCATGTCTTAAAGTTGAGAGGAATTATTTATTGGAAGAGCAGGCTCATTCGTGCCTGGTCCTGAGTTAGATGACGAGATCCTGGGTTTCAAACTGCTGCTGCAATGGAAGGAGCCTCAGGAGAGCCCAGTAGGGCTGAGAGCGTTTCTACATGAGGGGCTGTGAGCCTCCAAAGAGCTCCCAACAACCCTTGCCTCCCTCTCATGTCCTCCTGAGTCCCTCACAAAACAACAGGGTTTACCTGGGAGACCAGGAAGATGCTGTGAGACTGACAGCACTGTGTGTGGTGCCTGAGCCCAGATCGTAAAGGGCACAGTGGCTTCCACCTTGCTCTCCTGGAACAACGCCGGTGGCAAATACTGGCTGCCATGTCAAGAGAAGACTCAAGTGTGAGTGCTCTGAAGAGCCCGTGTGGAGAAACGGCCTCTTGCCAACAGCCACACCCGAGTTGAGAATCATGTGAGTGAGGCCCCAACAAGCCTTCAGAGGACCTTAGCCTTGACCTGTCGACATCTTCATCAAAATCTCAAAAGGGACCCTGCGGCAGAACTGCCCACAGTAGCTGTGCGATAACTACCACACTGGGTTAACTGGCAGAGCTGGGGTCTGTCTGACTCAGAAGTCTGTGCTCTTGGCAACTACGCCCACTCCAGGCCCTGAGTGTCAGGCCTGTGGCTGCCGTCGGTGCCTGACCTGGTCACTGGCTGGGCGCAGCTGGCAGGAAGGCAGTAGAAGAGCACTGGTATGAGGTTTGCCTTTCAGGGCTCATCTCTGGATGCTAGCCCTCAGAACCACTTGCGCTCCACCACACAGGCTTCTGTGGAGTTCCCAGCTGCATCCTGCACTTCCCTGTCTTCATGCCTCATGCTGCTGCCTCATGCATCACTTCACCTGGCAAGGGCCTACCTGTCCACTGTCATTCAGTTTAAATTTTTTGAACGGCATGTCTACAGCCATTATCCTATACCTGTTCCTGATGTTCCTGACTGATTTCCTACACTCCCACCTATCACTCCTCCCAACCTGCACAGGACACAGGGTTCATTACATTATCACCTCTGTGTTTCACACACACAAATATATTCACACACGTAAATATATCCAGCAACTATATCCAATTATAGCTTTAAAATGTTAGTTTGTGCTCTGTGCTAGAATGGAAGCTCTAGCTATGAAACCTCATCACCATCATCTTTGTACCCAGTTCATGAACCAGAGTCATTAACTGAGCTGCCTAATCTTTCCTGGTGGCAGAGGTGAGGCCTCTCACTCCCTCTCATCTCTCGCCTTCCATGCAGGTGTGGAACCTCCAAGGGCCTCACCTGGCAGAGAGCGGATGAACTCGTAGACATCTTCTACATTCCATTTGGTGGGCTCACTTGGCAGGAAGTGGTGTCCCATGCCCACTAGGTCCCGCATGTGCATGTCAGGGAGCTCCAGGTCGCGTTGGCCTTGTCGCCGGCGGGAGGTGGATGAGCTGGCTGAGATGGGTGACAGGGGTTCCTCGTAGCTTGAGTTATCTGAGCAACGGCTGGAGTCTTCCTGGCTATGTGTTAGCTGCAATGCAGCAGTAACCGAAAGGGGTACAGAGCCGGTTGGCTGGGAGAGAGAAAGTTTCTTCAGAATGGGGACTAAACCATCTCTAGTACAGTGATGTGCAAAGGCAGGTGCATTTCCCTCCTCTACTTGGTCTACTACTACCTATCTCTGAGTTCCAAAAAGTACCTTCTGTGCTGTCCCTCTCTGGCCCTATGGGGTCAGTGCTGGAGTATGTGCCACACTTGAGGCCATGGATGAAGGCAAACCGGGAGGGATGATGTTGGGGCAAGGTCATTGAAAACAGAGTCACCTCATAGACACCCATGGATCTACATCAAGCATGTTAAACTCACGGCCCACAGGCCACATGCAGCCCACAACGAGTATTTTTGTAGCCCAGCCAATATAACGGTATGTAAGAAACATTTTAATAAAAATTTTGTAACTTAATTTTTACTATATACTGTTATACATAATTAGTAATAACAAACTACAACATTCGACAATGACTGATTACTATAATCGTGTTCATTTCCCTTATGCGCCTTATGCACAGGCACACCATTTCTCTCCACTAATACTAGCAGCGAATATTTTAGCAGCTGACTGCCATGTCATTAGTCTTGTACTGACTTGTTTGGTGTGCGCAACAGGAAATATTTCGCTTTCAGAGAACAAGAAAATAGGTTTATTTGCGTTATGCTTATTGATTTGTGCAGTTAGTATCTGGTAAGTCAATGTCCAAGAAAAAAATATAAATTTTTATGAAAATGTTCTATTACTTTATGTTAACGATTACTCATTTATTTCAGCCTTTTGTATTCAGCATATCTTTAATCGAAATAAACCTACGTTTCTATCAAAATTGAAGCTTTTGGGTTTTTTTTGCGGCCCACATAAACTTACACCTTGTTTATTTGAGTTTGACATGCTTGAACTACATGAAGGGACATGGGGAAGGCTTGATCTGACAGAACATGCTGATGTGGGCAGAAAAGACATGGGGACAGTGAGGATGGAGCTTCAGGCTCAGCCAGCCCTCTCACCTGCTTCTTGGTATCCTTGGTAAGAGTTGGCAGACTGGCTTTGCTGGCCCGACGGCGGTTGTGGGTCGTGGCTCCTGCCTTCTGCAACTTGCTCCGGTCTGAGTGGAAAAGCCCCACTCGTTTGGTGCATCCCACATTGTACCTGCCAGAGTCAGGGGAATACAGGAAGTCAGCAGTCATAGGGTGCACAGGCCTCGGGCAGAAGAGCAGCCAAGCTATGTGGCAAACCCGTGTCCGTCCATTCATTCATTCTAATCCTAAATCCGTCACTTGAAATAACTTGGATCCTGGTGATAACTCATTGCAGACACACTCTGCTGCAAATACTACCTGTGCTAAGAAACTCCTGTCCACGGTCCTGCTGGAGAGCAGCTTGGTGAGGCTTCACTGAAGCGCCCTGATCCCCTCCAGCACAGCCTGCGGGGATGAGGGCTGAGGAAGCCTTACTCTAGTTGGCCTGCAGAACATGGGTGCCTGGGGCCTAGAGTTCTTCTCTTTGGGGGGCTCAGGGCTTCTAGGGCAGCCGCCTTGTCCACTTTGATACAAAGACCACAGAGGGTTGTAGAGTCAGACGATCTAAACCCCCCAGCTCTGTGACTTCAGGCGCAATTATTTATCATTCATGCCTCAGTTCCCAAACTGTGTGTAAAGAAGACAATAGCAACACCGGCCTCAGAGTTGTCTTGAAGGCTGGATGACACAATGAATACCCACTGCCCTGCACACATAGGCTCTCATCCAATACGGCTGGTTTTTACTAGGATCATTAGTTTCCTAAGCTGGTGGAAGCTCATGAGGAACTGTCACTAGTGCAGCGCTCAGGGCAAAGCTCCAAGGGGAGGGCTTGCCATAAGGAGATGGGCAGGAAAAGAGGCTGGGCCAAGGGGACCCAGGAGGCAGCCACACTGAAGCCCTGCTTCCTTCTGTGCCTCCTCCCTCCATTCTGGGCTGCTCTCTCTCATCTGCTGGTGGGGGTTTCTCTGGGGGAATTAGTGACGCGGTGCTGCTTCCAGGCAGGCACAGGAAATGGGGAGCTGGTAAGTCACCCCCCGGCCTCTTGGGATGGACTATTACTGAAGGGAGGTGGGACACAGGAGCAGGATCAAAGGCACAATCCTGGGGGAGGGCAGGGGCTGGGCACAGCACAGGGGGTGGGGGGGCCAAGCCACTCACCTTTTTGCACAGGCCATGGAACAGAAGCGCTTGGAACGCTTGAACTTGTAGGCAAAGTCCACCCGGCCACAGAGCTCACACTTGAGTTTGAGGGGAGTCCCCTCCTCTTTGGATTCTGAAATGTATGAAAATTGGTAAGTATGGAGAACGAGCAATTGTCAACAGCCCCATCACAGGGCCTCCCTACTGTCTGCCTGCTCATGTTCTCACAGCTGTGACACACACAGCTGCCTAGCTTGGGAAATGCTGAGCCTTCTCTGTCACTGTTTTTGGAAGAGCCGTTTCCCTCCCTGGAAAGTACTCAAAGGGATCTGAGAATGCCCCCGTGACACTGACCATTCTCTTGTCTAAGTGCTATGAGCCTGAGGCGCCCACAGGGGAAGATGTAGCAGCACCCCTCCTGATCCTGGGAGAGAGGAGCTCAGAGGGAGCACTCTGGGTGCTGCCACAACTGACCTGAGCTGGGGGGAAGCTCATGAAGGAACAGCTGTCCTTCCCCACCCACCTCAATCTGTCTAGTTGGCTGCTAACCTGGGTAACAGAATCCAGTTCTGTCTCCTACACAGGCCCCTCCTTCCATTTATCAGTGGCTAAGTGACCAGTGCCGTCCCTGTCTGGCCGCCACTGAGCCTCTGAGCTGGGCCGTGCTGAGTGCAGGCTCCCGAGGCGGTGGAGGAAGGGCATGGTGGCCCGCTGCTCCTCAAGCCCTACCTCTCTCCAGTGACTCACACGGGAGAAGAGCCTTAGAGTCCTGTGGTTGGCTGGAGGGCAGGCAGGGCAGAAACAGTTCCCAGAGGGCAGGGACTTCTGTCCCTGCTTCTTAGGAGCTGGGAAGGCACTGGAGGAAATGATCAGTAAGCCTGCATGTTCACACACACCCTGGCTCTGAGTTCCTCCATGGATACCAAGAAAGGAAGTGGGGAAGGCCTGCTTTTCCAGACTTGCCTACTTCCTATGTGGCTACACACACCCTCAGCGTTCCGGGTGTGAGACGCTTACCTTGCAGATAGGGCTCCTCCATCTCGGAGTCAGTGGTGGTGGTGTGGTCCTGCTGTGGAAGTTTCTCAGGCAAAAACCCCTGTGCATACTTCTTTTTGAGATTCCCCACCAGCAGGGACGAGCGTCCCACCTAGAGGACATGGTGACACGGAGGCCATGAGGGTTAGCTGGGAAATGCTTCCTTATCCAGCCTCACCAAAATTACACGTATAAAGCATCCAGGCATAGATGCCAGCCCCTATATCATCATCCAAGTAAGCCCTGTAAAAGGCCTATTTCACTGTTAGCTCATGAGGCAGGATGCTACTGGAGACTGAAGGGAAGGCTTCAATCCAGCACAAATGGATGCCTCGGGAGGTAAGGAAAATATCTACCCTTCCCAGTGTCTAAGGGGCAGAGATGAGGCAGAGACTAGAGTTTCCCACACTGCCAGCAGTGTTCACATGCCACCAGGCAGCAACACAGCCAAGGCTATGTGTGTGTGTGTGTGTGTCTCAACAACCATTTTAAAATTTCTTACTGTTCTCTATCTTATCACTGCCCTACCCAAGGCAGATGTACACACAGCCATGGAAGGCAGTAGGAAAAAAATGGACTCTGGGCTAAGAGCAAAAATGCCCTCTATGGTTGCAAGGATCCCAGATTGGCTAATTCATTCTTTTGGTTCTCCCTTAGCTGCCTTTGTTCAGGCAGCCCCGTGGCCAGATCGCTAGAGCAATACTGGGGTGTTACTGAATCTGCATCACCCTGAGAAATCGGCTGGTTTCTGGTGTTGCTCCAGGAGGCCCAGGGGAAGACTTAGTCTAATGAGGGAAGGGATGTCATAGGCCTAGAGCTACTCATAACTAAGGTGCGCCATGTGAGTTTCTTTGCCACAGGCCTTGAACGACCTCCAGAGGAAAAGAGGACAAGAACCTACACGTCCTTCGGCATTTCAGAAGGGCAGGCCATCCTTCTCAGTTAATCAAGCAGTCTTTTGCTGACTATTCAAATCACTTATGGATCCAGAGAACGAGCAGGAGGCAGATGGCATCCCGTGAGGATCGTATGTCTCTAACAGATACTTTTATCACAGGAGCTACGTGCACTGGGTCTAGGCCCCTCCCACCCACACAGCAGTACCACCTGTCCTCACCAGTCTGCACTGAGCAGAATTAGCTTTGGCTGCTTTGTTCTAATAAGCCATTTTCTTGATTCTTTTATATTTCCCTTTGGTCTTATGCTTTAACTAGAGGCCCGGTGCACAAAATTCATGTACTTGGGGGGTCCCTCAGCCTGGCCTGTGCCCTCTTGGCAGTTGGACATCCTTAGTGCTGTTGCAGAGGCAGGAGAGGCTCCCACCACCGCCACTGCACTCACCAGCTGTGAGCCCAGCTTCTGGCTGAGGGGCACTCCACCTGTGGGAGCACACTCACCACCAGGGGGCAGCTCCTGCGTTGAGCATCTTCCCCCTGGTGGTCAGTGCTCGTCATAGCAACCATCCCACAGTTCTGTCGATTTGCATATTAGCCTTTTATTATATAGGAGGATTGGAGACACTTGACTGTGCCCTTTCTGAAGTGCCCTCACTTTCATTCACTCCCCTTTAGAGGCTCTGTCCCCAGCCACAACCCTATTCTCTTCGTTTCAAATGCATCTGAAGAATTCTCTTCTGTACAGGTTCCTTTTGTTCTCTGACTGGCCAGTTTTGCCATGCAGAGGTGTTAGTATTCAAAACTGAATGGGGTTTCATCTCCCAAAGTCCACCAAACATGCCAAGGAGAACTCCCTTTTAACCAAGGGGGTCACATATCACCAGGCGGGACACAGCGGAGTCTATGTTGGGAACTTCTAAACAAGGCGTCTTGCCAATTATTCCTAATCACTGACCCCCTGTGGACCTCAGGACACTGCTCAATCCTAGAAAGAAAATAGTTCTGACATTCCTTTGGGGAAAATTAGCAGGGAAAGAACAACTATTTCACATTTTTGGAAATTTTACATGGAAACATAAAATATTCTAATACACATCCAAATTATACTTAAAAAAAAAGAAAAGAAAGAAAAAAGAGGGGAAAAGAAGTAGTCCGTACCGGGAAAGGCTCCGCCCCCTCCTGGATCACAAACCCTTCGATAACATGCGTCAGGATTTGGGGTTTCACAATGGCCTGTGGTGGTTTATTCTCACCATTCTGGGGGGCAGTGCCGGCGATGCTGGAGGCAGAATTTCCGTTCCCTGAGGTCATGCCGGGGCTGCTGAGGTCGGTCAGTGCATGAACAATGCCCTGCCCTGTCTCTGTACAGGGAAAGTAGGGAAACACAAGCAGGGGAGGTCAGAACCTGGTTCAGCCCAGAAGGAGCACAGGGGTTCAACATGAGCCTGGTACCTTCGGTGGAGCCAAGCGACAATGCAAACCAAGCAGTCCCCTCCCTCAACCACCTATTTGATGTGGTGTCAAGGGACACACCACCAGGTGTGACTCCATTCAGTTGTGCAGCAATGCAACTAATCAGCTGGCAGTGTTTTGTAGACTTCCAACTGTGTTAACAATTCAACTAGGTGAACAGACAAGAATCTTGCCTTTGAGGTGTTAGGAACTTGGTCAATATTGATATGGACAAATAAAGTAACATTCAGTTCAAGGGAGAAAATATATTCAAACTGGTATCAGAAACCAGATTGAGAAGCTGAACTAGACAGAGGGCTAGGGGTATAATAGGGTTTGGGGGAAAGAGTTCAAGTGAACCTTCTAGGAGGTTCCTTGGAAAAGGGTTAGATTGAAAGTGTCCTGTGAAATGTCAGAGTACTGAATTCCAGAAATCAATGCAAAGGGAATTTGGGGAGCGGAACCCCAAGTAAACACGGTAACACAGATCTGACTGTCCAGAGCCTGGGACTCAGGTCACTGCATTAAGATACACTGCTCCATTCTCCCGCCAGGAGGCTGCGAGGCCGAGCGGAGGCCTTCCGTGCTGCTTCTGCTGGTCCTGTGCTCAGTCAAGCCTCTTGCCCGTTGTCAGCCTCATATCCGATCTGATGCTCAGCCAACCAGAGACTCCTTCCCTCTGTCCCTCTGTGGACAACTTTTCCTGAGTTATCCTCTCCTGGATCCCCTGGCCTTGCTCGGAAAGACCTAACAGAGTGCTCCAAAAGCGTGATGGGTATCCATACAGAACCACACCGCAATGGCCGCCTCTTCTCCACTTCACCTCTCAGGAGTCGTTTAGAGGTGCAAGACTTCGTCACCTCACTTGTGAAACTCTACCCCCCTTCTCAGAGTCATTCTCTACCACCACCAGCTGCCCAGGAGGCCTGAGGTTGCCTTTAACCTGGAACTTCCTAAGAAAGGAGGGAAAAGGAAAGAAAAAGCTTTTTTTTTTTTTTTACTGCAACAGCCTATTAAGTATAAACCAGTGTGTATTTGTGTGTTACTTTAAAAACGATTTCAATAAATTTATTAGCTAAGCCATGTCTGCACAAAACTTTCCATGAAGATGCTCTTATTTCATGTTAAAGATCTCAAATCCGCCTTAACTGGTTTGGCTCAGTGGGTAGAGCATCAGCCTGCGGACTCAAGGGTCCCAGGTTCGATTCCAGTCAAGGGCATGTACCTTGGTTGCGGGCACATACCCAGTAAGGAGTGTGCAGGAGGCAGCTGATCGATGTTTCTCGCTCATCGATGTTTCTAACTCTCTATCCCTCTCCCTTCCTCTCTGTAAAAAATCAATAAAATATATTTTTTAAAAAAGATCTCAAATCCTACGATGGAACAGGGTCTAATTATGCAGCATGGAGAAATCAAAATAAACTCATTTTAGAAAAGCTTTATAACTGGCTCATTTCTTACTAGTAGCCCCAATGCTCAAATAAGCCAGGATAAATCTTTTTTGATGAAAAAGAGTTGGTGGCTACGACACATGCTCCAGTAGTCAGACCTGCCTAATTCAACTCTAATAAACTTCACTGCTGAGCAGGAGTCATCCAAGAGGTGTAATTGATGGCCTTTGAAAAATTTCTTCTTGGTTGTGAGAATTATTTAAAGCTTTGGCTCTTTTTGTAAAGATAGGAACTTTCCCCTCTTTTGAAATCTTTCTAACGTGAAAGGCATTTGGGAACTGAAAAAACAAAAAACAAAAACACTTTCTTTCATAAACTATGAATAACTAGGTGGACTGAGTTAATTACATAATCAAGTTACTTTTCTCTGCGCTTAAATTTTAAATATTTAACTCTGCATTGACATAACTACATTTCCTCTGCTTTAAAAATGTTTTCAAAATTCAAATTGAGTATATATTTTATTTAAAATGATGAATAGATAATTAGAAAGCTTACTGTGTAAGTTAAAATTTTATTTTTAGATGATGGCTATTTCTTCCTTATTAGAGCCTCGTAAAAGATTCTCTGGTTACTCTTATGAACCATAGATTACAGAATCAAGATGAGAAATTCTGGGCATCCTCTCACCACTGCTTACACCTGCTCTGTCATACCCCCACCCAGAGATTTCCGGGCATTTGTTTAAATATCTTTTGTGACAAAGGAGCTCACTATCTCTGAAGTAGTTTGTTCCCACCTTGGGCAGTTCAATGAAAAGTTCTTCCTTATAATGAGCCCCACATCTATCTGCTGTTAATTTCTGCCCACTTATCCTGGCTGTGTTCCTTAAGACCACACAGAACAAGGCTAATCCTGTTTGTGTGATGGGCAGAAACACGGGCTGGGACCTGTCTTAGAGGCTGGTCTCTCTATCACTGAAGTGTCAGTGGCAAGTCCTCATTGTTCCTTGAGCCTCAGTTTCACTGGCGTAAGATAAGGACAATAACAATACTTACCTCACTGTGTCGCTGTGAGGACTAAATGAGATAATGAATCAACAGCAGTGTAGTGCTAGCACACTAGGAAATGCTCAAGTGGCATGAAGAAGCCACTCATGACCCAGAATACTTCTCTCCTCCAGGCCCAACTCCCTCTGCTCTTCCAACTGTTTCTTGTATATAAAAAGGATTCAAGTTCATCATCATCCTAGGTCTTCTTGGCCTGCATCTTTTAAAGTCTACCCAGTTACTGCAAACATAGCAATGTATTGGTAAGAGATCAGGTTGATAAGATTTTTGTTACATTAAGAGAACAGGTGGAGGGAAATTAGTGACTTCCGTGTTTTAGTTTATAATTCCTTTAGTTTATGAATCCATTCTTCCCTGAATTCTGGGATCACTCCTACCCCCTGCTCTTTTCAGTGCTACTCACCACCAAACAGCCTCTGATCCTTGTCTCCTTTCATGGGATCTATCTTTGCTGGACTCCTCCCCTTTCCCCTCATCCCTTCCCTCCTGCCTCTCAGATCTGTGCCTATTAATATACACTGTAAGGCGGGACAACTCTTTTGAGGTCAGATTCTTCCCTCATGCCAAATACAGTGGTGAGAGATACCTTCACCAGCTCAGAGGCGAGAGAGCCAACAAACGGAGAAACCCTTTCACCATAACATTAGAAACTATCACTCCCGTTATCACTGGGGCGCGTTACAGGAGAGACAGAATCCAAGGGACAGAAGAGCATGTTTTATGAAGGCACAGGTTTGCAGACACTGCTTCGCTTCACATTCATCTCGTAGCAAATACCTCCTCATCTGCTTTAGTAACAAAGGAGTTTGGGCTATTTGTGGAATGACAAAACACAATCTCACCCCCGCCAGGCTCAGCACACTGCGATTAATTTAATCTGCTTCCCCGCTCTCCCAGACTGCTCTGCGGCCTGCTTGGGGAAAAGCAGCTTAATAGGGAAACTTGCAGAAACCTGCCCTGCTGGCCCGGAGGCCAGATAAAAGACCGAGACAAAGCAATACTCTACCGTTTGGAATTTGTCCTTTCTCAATTCTCTGGATCAGTCCTAGGCTGCAAGGGATGCCTGGGATTCCCAGGGGTCTCAAATGCCTTTGTACAGAGTTAGGCACCTGAAATCTGAAAGGGGAAGGCCAGGACACCATGAGTCTAGGAGGCTGTGGGAGTAAAGCCAAGCTTCTGTGGTGCTGGCGCTGGGGGAAGGTAGAATCTAGCCCTTAATTGAAGCTGACCGTAAGGGCCAAGTATTCAGACCAGAATGAACAGAACAGTATGTCTGGGGCAGTCGTTACATAATGTCTCAACCTTTCGGGTGGCTCTCAATTCTGGTTTCACTCAGGCTCTGGCAGAAATAGCCCTAATAGGGGCGGGATAATGTGGGAAGGACCACAATGGCCTTGTCTGTGAAATGATCTGCTTCGGGGTTGGTCCCCTTCACTAGGCAGAGCACGTTTCTTTAGGCAGGGGCTATATCTTAGTCACCTCTGTATCTCCAGGGGCTAATGCAATGTCCACTATATGACAGACCCTTAATGTCTGTTAAACTGGAATATATGAAACCATGGTTTCAACAGGTCTCCCTAGACTCAAAATAAGCAACTTGCCAGCGAGCAACTGGGATTTGTAAAATTACTTCCGAGGCTATAATGGTTTGAGAGCAGCTAGGCTGGTGCCTGTCAATAAGAGTGGCATTTCTGGGTACCTGGCTATAAAGAAGCCTAAGAGCTATTCCTTGGTCCACTTCTTCCTGTTAAGGCAGGGAAACATTTACGCCAGCTCCAGGCACTTGGAAAGGCACAATGACCTCTAGGGGCAAAGGCCAGGAGTTGCCTGTGGAAATGGGCAGGCCCGAAGGACCACTGGTAGATGTCCAGAGAGGCTGAGCTCTCCTGCCCTCTGCAGAGAGAGGTCATACTGGCCCCAGCTATGCAAAACCTGGACCACTTCAGAACCAGTTCTGATGTTGTTTACATGCACAGATAAGACATCAACATCACCAGTTATACTGGAATACATTTAGTACTAATATTTACTGTGGCTATCTCAGATGGCCTGGCTGCTCATTCTATTTGCCGTGAAGATCTGACTCCAGAGGAAATGGGGGGCAAGCACAGCTTCTCCTTCCACCCCCTCAGCTGGACCAACACGTTCCCTCCTTTCTCTAGACAACAGGAGAGAGTATTTTGCTCAACAAGGCTTCTAACTAGCCTTGCTTGGCTATAGCAGGAGTAAGCCAGAGCTAATGGAGTTAAAAGAATTCAAGGAAGCAGAGTAGGTGATAACATGGGTCATTTGCCTGCAGCAAATTCTGCTGGGCAAATGGGAAAACAAGGCCACCTGTACCGCACAGAGCGTCCTCTCCAGGCCCCTTCCTGGCTCTAGAGTCCTGCTCACTGTGCCCAGCTTAGCAGGCCAGACACGAGGCCTGGAGGGTGACAGCAGGATTCCTGAAGGACTGCCCTCTGGAGAGCCTGAGTGGAGCACCTACAAAGGGACCCCAGGGCAACCACACCCCTGGGCCAGAGAGCAGCTGATGCAGTGCCTGGTCTGAGCAGAGGGCAGAGCCACAGCGCAGGAAGCCCAGGGTGCAGGGCACAGTCCTTGTGGAGAGGTCTGTGGGCCACCCGTTAGGATTTTAGCTTTATTTGGGCCCCTAAAAAAATTAGTGTCACTGCAGGTTAGGGAGGTAAGCTATTTCATAAGCACCAATCTGTTGGGGTTCCTTTCCCTCTCCCCAGCCCCCCACTCTCCCAGGGGAAGGGTAGGAAAATGAAGTGGGGGGTAGTATGAGGGGAAGAGGGAGGGAGGAGTGGAGCTCTACCCCGGGATCCTGACAGAGCCCATCAATTAAAGAGATTGATTTGGTTAACAACCTTCTTTAAAATGCAAATATACACCTGCGGTCATTCACACCTCACTGTGAACCACTTAGATAAGCAGATAGCTTTCTTCCCAGAGCTGGGACAGAAGGTTCAGTGGGAGGCGCGGGGGTGGAGAGCGATCATTTTGGATCCTGGGTGTGAGATCACAGATGATTAGAGTTGGAAGGGCCTCGTATAACATCTTCATTTTCCAGAGGAGGAAAAGTGCGCACAGTTAACTGTGCATTTTAGAATCAAAGAGGAATAGATGCAATTTGCTTGGAAGACAGTATCTTCTAAACACACAGAAGGAGCTCTTAGTGGTGGGGAAATTGTAGGACCCTAGGTACCAGAAGGCAGAAAGAACCAAGGCCAAATGTTTGCTAGTTTTTCAATCCTGCTAAGGACCAAGCTGTCAGACATCCAAGATGTCCCTGCCCTGAGGATACACAGCAGGCTCTCACACACATGCCACCCACATTCTGCTCCTCAGGGCACCTTCCTGGCTCTGCAAACAAGAGCGGCCGACCTGAAGCACCTCTCCCCGAGGGAAGTGACAGCGGTGGCAGGCGGACCCCTTTGGGGAACTTTACTGAGCAAAGGGGTGAGCTGGCCGGCAGAATGAGCGGGAGGCCGAGCCAGGTGGCCCCAGACCTGCCCTCGGTGTCACTGAACAATGATCTTGTGAGTCTGGCTGAAGGGGATTGGAGAGCAGACATGCTTCTCGGATCTTAAGCATCTGGGCTGAGTGACTCTGGCTGAGGCATCTGTTAGGGCTCCTCCTCCTCACTGGCAGCCATTACCATACAGCTGACTTTCATGCTGTCTCTTAGGACACAGGCAAAGAGAGCAGCCCTTCTCACTCACCCACAATCCCCAGCTAAAGTGTACATAAGCTGAATTGTAAACAGCTGAATGTTTTCCAAGCTGCCACCCCCAGCTATGAAGGAATCAATGGGGCGAACAGCCACCGTCCCCCATGCGGTTCAGGACAACAGAGCCAGAGCCGTGGGGGATTTCCAAACAGCTGCAAGAACTGCTTCCCAGTCAGGCGGGTGCTGCAACTCTACAGCCAGATCACACTCAGCAGCAGCATCTGCAGGACCACAGGGGGACGTCCAACAGGACAGGAATAACAGCTACTCTGACTTCGAGGCGTCAGGCAGGCGGGGTTTTCAGAGTCCTGCTTAAATGGGGACGGTCCTGTGTACCCCATGCCGAGGTGCAGGCCCCACATAGTCTCCTGTCACAGTGCTCTAGCAGACACTATGGTTTCAAAGGAGAATGCAACCAACAGGAGAGGCATCAGCACAGCAGGAGATGAAAGGAGAGGGCACAGGGGAAAGAACACTAGATCTGGTCAGACTTGGGTTCACAGTCTGGGTCCATCGTGGATCACCTGTGCAGCTTCAAGCATTGGTACCTGCTCTGAGCCTCAGTTTTCCCATCTATAAAAATGAGGATCACTGCCTGTCTTGCAAGGTTACAGCAAATATTTGAGTATAAGAAAAACCCTGGCTCTGATTACATTTAGAAGCTGGGCTACATGGAAGTTAAGACTTGGGGATCACAAAGACTCTGGGCTTAAATCATAGTTTGTAATCCTGGACAAGTTACTCAAGGCCTGTTTCCTTATCTACAAAATGGGGTATAATCTCTGTCTCATGTGGCTTCCATGAGGATTAAGATAATGCAGGTACAACACAGTGGAATTGACCTGACTTGGCCATAGAAGGGTTACATCACTGAGATCTGAGAGATTAGGAAACCAGCCTCTTATAGCTAAAGGTAAAATCATGGGAGATGAATTTATAACAGTTTACACTCCAGAAAAATATATATCTAGGAATGTTTAGTAAATTCCCTAATTATTTTCAGGGTGACAACAAGAAAAGGCAATGATGCCTTATTTATTTATTTGGTTACCAGCTGTAGGATCATGTAGATAAATGGCTGAAGGATTGGGGGCGGGGAAGGAGGGAGGGAGAATACTAAGCCTCAGTTGTCTTATCTATATAATGGGCTGGATAATACCTTGCAAATCAATCCTCCTGATAATTTCAGTTCTTGGAAACCATCCCCCGCGCTTCCTTCCTGTAACCATTGTCTAAGCTTTCCCTCACCCTACTTTGCTACAAATCAACTGACAGAACAGATTAATACTGATTACTGGAGTCCTGGAAATGTGGACTTAATTCATTTTAAAAGTATTTGATTCACATTCATGTTATTAATTTAAAGTGTCATTTGCTTGAATTGTTTAAAAATGTCTTAATATAGCTGGTGTGGACTCAGACGATGTATGATGGTTTCAAATATGCTAAAGATATCACTAACTAGGGATAATTATATAGTACTTGAGACATAATAGCCATGCAACTAAAACTTTAAAAATAACTCAAAGCAGTCACAAACTCTCACTTTCTTGCCAACAGTCTCAATACTCAGCATCGGCTCTGGACCTCCTAACGTACAGAGAAGAGCTGACATCTAAAACACATCTTTTCTTAAGAGGAGGTATAATAACTTTTACTGTGAAGAAAGTCATTCAAGAAACAGATACTTGCTTTCAAGAAAATCCTAACAGCAACGGGGACTCTTTTCAACATGTGGATTCCTCTTAGAGCACTGGCGATGCCTGTTTAACAGCAATCATTTCTTTAGCAGATGTAGAAAGAATGTCCTCTTCTTTTGGACTTATCTAAACTAAAAAAAAATCATCTGGAGACTCAAAGAGTAGGAAAGCACATCCTTTTCCACTAGCTATAAATAATCTGGAAGGGGAAGAAAAAAATACTAAGTTTACCATGCTGGCTAAGATGGTCTTACACTGAATCACAGAGCAACAATTTATTATTTAAAGTAACGCTATGTTTCTTACTCTACTTTTAATCTTCAAAACCTAACCATTTTAAATTGCATAATTATTGATTATAAAACTATATTATTGATGGGAAAGTGTCCAGAATCTGTAAGACTTCTGTCTTGGATAAACAAATGGTTGATTATTTTCCTATCTATTCGCAAAATGTCAGGAAATTGAATTAAAGATGATCTGTGTCTGAATAGTTTGACATATCAAGTCAGTGATCTAATGTAGCTAGTAATTCAAACTGAAATTTAAAAGTAAGTCAATGCTTAAAATGAAACCTGCACCTATTTAAGTTGTGAATAAATAGTTGTTTTAAAAAAGCACTCTTTTAAACAGAAAACATATTCAGTCTTTTAAACTGGGGACTCACATTGTAGTTTAAACCATGCCATAAAAAAATATTTAAAACATAAATCTACATATGTTCAGACCTCTGCCTTGAGGGGCAGTCCGGCTTTGATATCACCATCAAACAAGTTGCTAAATCACTGTGGAGTCATTTCTGTTACTGGCACAAAGGACTCACCAGAGTGGATTGCATAAGCAGCCAGTCCTCACCCTGCACTTCCATGGGGGCGGAAAACACAAAAGCATCTCTCTACAACCACTTTAGTGAGCTCCCTCCTGACCACAGAAAATCATCTTCATCTTCCAGTTGCAAAATGGCATAAAAGGAATAAAAGAGAAACTATCATTTATGAAGACTCACGTCCCTACTCTCATCTCAGTAGATGTATATTTTTGGAAGAGAATCTTTTAGTGGGTGGGACCAAATCTGTCTAGAGATTAAGTGGCATTGAACAGCTGGGAGAACTTTAATATAAACTTGGACTAACTCAAGAAGAGGGGGAAAATACCTCTTGGTAAGTAGCATATTAACACGAACAGTATTACCAGAACTGGAACCACCATCCTTCTCCCGTTTTTTGTTTTTACTTTATTTTGGCTTGCTGCTCCATGCTATCTGTAAGTGAAGGACTTTCATAGGAAGTGGGTGAACTTTATTCAGCAAATGGTTACCAAATGACTAGCATGAGGTCCACAGACCAAAGAAGGGCAAAGACTTAGAGGAAGAGTCTAAGGCAGGCATACATTCACAAAGGGAAAAAGATTAAAAAACATTCATGAATTCTTGATTCTGAGATAGTAACTGGTTCTTGTTTTTCTTAAATAAGAAATCTCAGGGAGGGGGGCAAGCTGTGTGAGAGCATGCAAGACCAGAGGCAAGAACAGTTCAATTTTGTGAGATGACTTATCTATTTATTCCTCTTCTCTTAGTCTGTTCTCTCTCCCTCGGAAAAATCAGAACCAAGGGATCCAAAGTATCTGAGACAGGAAATGAGTAAGGCAGGAAAAAGGATGTGGTCTGAAAAAGAGTGGATTCTGGGGCTGAGCCAGAGCAAGTAACAGGCACAGGGTCACAGATGGGGGAAGGGGTTTTGGTGGCAGGAAGAGAAGTCTCAGGGTCAACTGGCTCAGACTAGAAAGCCAGGGACAGAGGAGGTATGTCTGGAGAAGCATTAAAAACATCTTCCTAAAAAGTTATCCACCATTGAGATGCCGAGAAAAGATGGCTGAAGAGATCTACAACCAGGAGAATCATTCCCGGGACAGTTTCCTTTTCTCCTTACTTTAAAGAAAGTGGAATAATATACATTGAGTGCACTTAACACGGTAAATTAGAAATTAAGCCAGGACCTGGAAGAGAAGTGGAAAGGTCTGGTAGGTGAGTACATGATGAATTACCAATGTTCAGTTAGCATCTATGTGCCACCTTCAGTAAAACAAGAAAAATAAAGAAGAGGGTGAGACCAGGAGAGATTTACTCATGAAAATGCAGTCGGATGCCCTGGGCTGCCCCGGGCCGGGTGGCTCAGTTGGCAAGAACTTCGTCCCTACACCCAAAGGTGGCGGGGTCAATTTCCTTTCAGGGAAACGTGCCTGGGTTGCAAGTTTAATCCCCAGTTGGAACGGATGCAGGAGGCAGCGGATCGATGCTCCTCTCTCAAATGTCTCCTCTGTCTCTCAAAATCAATGAAAACATATCCTCAGGTGAGGATTTAAAAAAAAAAAATGCAGTTGGATAACTGAGAAACCAACTCAAGAACAACAGAAAAGTGGACGAAGAAACTGTCTGCTTTCTCAAGACGAAGGCTGGAGAAAAAAGGTATGTTTCCCCAGTGTGCACGGGAAAAGATCTTGGGTGGGCTGAGAGGCAGAGACCATGTGATGAAAAGTGCCTGGAAAGGGCAGGTGCCAAAAGAGCACCACTGCCCATCTGCTGGACCCTCTGTGAAACAAGCCAGCCCTTGTGAATGAGCCAAACCAGAAGCTCTGGCTCCCGCCTTGCAGGGACTGGAACTTAGGTACAGAAACAGGGGAAAACAAGTTTATCAGCTGACTCAAAAGTGTGGGCATTTCCAAATACAGATCCAGATGTCGGGGCTGTGTGGAGAAATCACTTTTACATTTTCCTCAGTGCCTAGCAAGTGCTTTCTTTATATGAAGAAGCCTAACAGAGGTCTGTAAAATGTAACTCAATGAAACCAAAACTACTTAAGAAACTTGTGCAGGCAGGTTTCTTAAGACTCAAGATAGAATCTCTTGCCCTATAACCAATACAGTAAGTTATTTCTATTCTAGAATCAAATGACATAAAGCCCTACATCCCTCATGACTTAAACCTGAGCCTTAATCAATGGACACTGCCAGGTGTATAAAAGCTTCCCTGTACTGGTATAAAAGATGGGGAGGGGACAGAAATAAAGGAGTAAGAAGGCATTCCCTTTCCCCACTAGCCTGTAGTATTCAGGCACCCCTAGAAATCCTGGCAGTTCCAACATTTGGGTTGACTCAGAAGGGGAAGAAAAATCCCAGGTGAATGATAATTGGATTACCGTTATGCACCAGAGCCAAAAGGCTGGAAAAGGCCAGGACAGCAGGCTAGATACAGCTAAAGTGACTATTTTCTAAATCAAAATCGAGACACGCGGGCTGACAGACAATAGATGGAATATTTTACATTGGGGCTGTCCTAGAAAAATCGAGGGCATATGGTGCATTTAGGTCGGTAGCTTATTTCACTACAAGGATCCTCTGGGCCCAATATGCTAATAGAGGGGATTAAAAACCTAGGATGGGAGATATGGGAGGAGAAAGCTGTCACTGGTAAAGCAGGAAAAAGAATGTGTGTCTGAAGACAGCACAGGAAAAAGGTAAACATTCTAAGTATGGAGCACGAAGGAAAGGAAAGTTGATCAGAACTGAAAGCATGTCAGTCGCTTCAGTGAAATCGGTCCAGGTATCGAAGGCGGGGCGGGGAGGGAGCGGGGGGGGGGGGGGCACAGACGGATATAAGTTCAGATTGTAGCTTCACCATTCTTTGCAACCTGACCTTGGGCTAATCATTCCCTCTGTGCACTTCAATTTAAATAGCGAACCTCACAAATCCCGATGTAAAGGACCAACAATATTAGAACACCATCATTTGGTCTGAGGAGAGAAAATGCTCTTCTAAAAATGGGAAAGGAGAGGACAGACACAGAACAGCTTGTCCCTTTCCATCCAATTAAAAACTGAACTAGATTAAAAACAAAACTCTCCGGCGAAGCCTCAGGCCCTCCAAGACAGAAGTCCCCGGTCGGTGGAGCACAGCAGCCTTGCTCCTTAAAAGGGACGTCCATCCCCCGCAACTCGCCGTCCCGGGAGGGCGGGGGCGGGGTGTGCGGGGGCTCGGGGTAGGGACGGGACACACGGAAGCGTTGGGCTCGCCAGGCTGACACCGAGGCTTCAGGGGGAGTGCGGGGCAGGCAGGGTCCCCGACGAGGGGAGGAGGCGCAGGACACCACTCAGGCGCCGAGAGGGCGAGAGCCGCGGGCTGGCACGGCCTGGCAGCCGAGTAGGCCCGGGCCGGGAGTGGCACCGGAGGGCGGTGCCCGGTTTCCAGCGCGAGGAGCGCGGGCCGCGGACCCCTCCTGGCAAGACCCCCTCCCCCGCGCGGGCACTGACCTGTCCAGGGCCCGGCTGGGCCTGGCCGGGCGGGGCCTACGCAGCCCCTTGGCCGGGCGCCGCCTCGCGCGGAGTCCCGGGCCCGGGCGGGCCGCCTCCTCTCCGCCGGGAGCCTCCGAGCCGGGGCCCGGGGCTGCCGCGGCGCATCCGACCGCACCGGCCGGGCCGGCGACAACAAAGGGCGGCGGGGGCGCGAGGCCGGGGCGGGGGCGCGGGCAACGGCTGGATTGCGCGCGCGCGGCGGGCGCTCGAGGGCTGCAGCCGCCGTGGAGACAATGCGGCGCGTCCCGGCTGGGCTCCCGCGGCCGCCTCCGCCGGGGGCGGAGTGAGGCGCGGGGCGGGGCCTGGGGCGCGCGGGGCGGGGCGGGGCCTCCGGGAGGCGGGGCCCCGGCGCGGAAGCCGGGCCGCGCGCTTCCTTTGTGCGGTCGCCCCGCCCGCCCCGCGGCGGTTAGGGACCTGGGCTTTCGGTGCGGGGAGGCCAGCGGCGCCCCGAGGACGTCTGCCCTCGCCGGGCCGCAAGTCCCCAGCGGCGCGGTGGCCTGGCCTCCCGCCTGGGCCAATACGGAGGCAATAATAGTAACTGCAAGCAATGCCTGCTCGGTGCGTGCCAAGCTCTGCGTGCGCGCGCTCTGCGTGTTCGCAACGGCCCCACAGGAGTCATTATCCGCCCCCACGGGGACAGGATCAGAGAGGTTAAGTAATGACCGAAGCGACCCGGCTACACCTCCATAAACGGGAATAATGCGACTGTTAGGCTTACTGTGGAGGTTACCTGAGGACATTTACACAAAGTGCCAGCAGTGCCTGGCACACAGTTGGAGCCCAATAAAGGTTACTTTCTCTTCCTAAACCACACTGCTTTAAACGGAATGGTCCTGGCGAAGTACAGTCATTCAGTAGATATGCTAGGAGCTGTGGGGGATACAAAAGCCATAAGTGAGTCACAAGCTCACTCCCCACTCCCAGCTTTGTGCTGAGAAGACAACTCGAATCTCTCCATGATTGCTCGCTCACTATTCCCAACATTTTCCCATTGTCTTGACTTTTTATTTATTTTTTTGCATTCACATTCTCTCTCTTTTCCCATTAGGTCTCCCTCATCCCTTTGTCTTTGTTTCCACGTTTTACATTTATTTTATGTTTCTTGATTGTTTACTTCACCCCCTTTCTCTTTTCCCCATTCCCTTTCCCCTCTAGTATTTTTCAAATTTCCAAAGCCCTTTTTCATTAATATTCACATTTCTGTCTTTACATTTCTTAGACATATATTTTGTTTTATAAAAGAAGGTAACATAGGATCGAATACACAGCTTCTCTCTATTCTCCAAACATGCCCACATCTTCCTGACTCCCTACCTCTACTTCCACGACTCCCTCCTGGAATGCCCTTTTCCCAACTCTGCATGTCCAGGTCCTACCTATCCTTCAAGGTCAAGATGCAAGAGCTGGCCGACAAACTTCTGTAAGGGACCAGATAGTAAATGTTTTAGACTTTACAGAACATACGGTTTCTGTGGCAACTACTCAGCTCTGCTGTTGTAGCAGGAAAGCAACCATAGATAATATGTCCATGAATACAGGTGGCTGTGCTCCAATAAAACTTTATTTATGAACCCTGAAATTTGGATTTTTTATAATTTTCATGTATCATGAAGACTATTCTTTTTATTCTTAAACATCTTAAAATGTAAAAACCATCAATAACTTCTGGGCTGTACAAAAAAATAGTGATGTGCTGTGTCTGAGTGGCTCAGTTGGTTGAGCATCGTCCTGTGCACCCAAAGGTTGCCGGTTCGATTCCCAGGAACATACTCAGGTTGTGGGTTCAATCCCTGCTCAGAGCATGTACAGAAAGCAACCAACTAATGTTTCTCTCTCACATTGATGTTTCTCTCTCTCTCTCTCTCTCTCTCTCTCTCTCTCTCTCTCTCTCTCTCTCCCTCCCTCCCTCCCTCCCTCCCTCTCCCTCTCCCTCTCCCTCTCCCTCTCCCTCTCCCTAACCCCCCTTCCACTCTCTCTAATCAATGGGGAAATATCCTCAGGAAAGGATTAAACACACACACACAACCAAAACAAATAATAATAATAATAAAACCAAGCTGGTGATGTGATGGATTTGGGCCTTGGGATACAGTTTGCTAACCCCTGCTCTAGAACAATGCCATTTCTCTGCAGTCTATCCTGATAATTTGTACTTGATAGTAACTCTTCCCTCTTATAGCACTTGCCTATAATCCTTCTATAGCATTTATCACATTTTAGTTTTTATTGTATATGTCCCCCCTCCCCTGTGCATTTATCATCTTTCCCAGCAGAACTGAAGCTCCTTGAAGGCAGGGTACAAATCTTTTTTACTCTATGTATTACCTCCCATCCCACAGTGCTTTGCACAGAGCAAGCATTCAGATAGATACAGGATGGTTATACAGTTAAGTGCTGGGTGGCTGACCATTGTTTCCACTGTGCAAAGCTTACTTCTCTCCTTAGATAGTCCTTTTGGGGCAGGATGCCTGTTATGTGTATATCATCTTGATTAGATTACAGAAAGAGATTTTTTGAGGGCTTTGTAGACAAGGTGGAGAAAGGTAGGCAAATGTCAGTTCATTTAAGGGTTATTGGATAACAAATAATTGAACAAAGAATATTGATTATCACCAACCTGTAGACAGGGCATGTGTCCTCATTTGGGTCCTATTCAACATTTCTATCAGCAAATTGGTTAAAGACAAAGAAAACATGCTATATAATTGATAGATGGCAAAGTTAGCAGAGGCATTATATAATGAATAACAAAATTCAGATATGAAACATTTCTGCCCCACCACATATTCTTTCTGTGCCTCGGTTTTCTTATCTTTAAAATGGGGATGATAAAAGTTTCTGCTTCAGAGGGTTACTGTCAGGTTTAAATGAGGAAATACATGTAAACTCTGACAGAGAGGGCCCAGTAAATGTTAGCTATTAACTATTACCATTTTCTTACTAGGCTGGAACTCTGGGCTAAATTCGCAAGATATTTAACACATGTCATTAGCTAGACATTGGCACAAAATATAAATTGTATGTGTTTGGGACTGGGGAGACCTGGAGTGAGAGCAGTCCATGTAAAAAGAAACCTCAAAAACAAAAGCAGACACAAAAGCTGACCCAACCATCAGGAATTCAGGTGACACAATGCTCTGTGGCCCAACAGTGTCATCCCCCTGGGTTGGAGCAGTTGATGTGGGGCCCTGGGTGCAACTTCCTGATGAAGGAAGGTGACACTGGAGCCAGAGTCATGGTGCTTTCATAGCTGTGTGACCTGAAGCCTCTTCAAGCTTTTTGTTTTCTCCTCGAAATACTGGGGCCATAACATTTCTTTCGTGGCCTTATTATCATGGGTAAAGGAAAACTTAGAACAGTACTGGACACATAGTAGGTGTTCAATAAATGTCAGTTCCTCCCTACCATACCATGTAGATCTGGAAAACAGTCCTGCCTGCCCCTTGAAGGGCTAGTACAGCGACCCAAGTCCCAACTTACTGTGACTTGTGGCCTTTTATATTTGGAATTAAGGTGCTTAATTTTGTGGATCACACTTGAAGGGAATTAATGAAAAGGTGGAAAGTGCCTAGACAAGAATAACCAGAACAGCGGGAATAGGGAATAGGAGGTTTTGACATGTAATAGGTAAAAAAAAAAAAAAAGTCTCAGCCTTTAGACTGGATATTCTCTCTCTCTCTCTCTCTCTCTCTCTCTCTCTCTCTCTCTCTCTCTCTCTCTCTCTCTCATTAATCCTCACCAGAGGAGATTTTCCCCATTGCTTTTCAGAGAGAGTGGAAAAGAAGGAGGGAGGGGAAAGACAGAGGAGAGAGAGGAGAAAAGCATTGATGTGAGAGAGACATATGGATTGGTTGCCGCATGCACCCTGACCAGGGTCTTGCCCTTGACTGGGAATTGAACCCATGACCCTTTGGTGCTCGGACTGACACTTTAACCAGTGAGCAACACCAGCCAGGGCTGATTGGGAGGGAGAGGAAAGAGACATGATAACTGTCTACAACCACAGTAGGAGATGGACTCTGTTATAATTCACAAGACAATCACAACCAGTAGTAGAAGTTCCAGGGGAGCAGATTTGGACTTAATTTGAAGAGTCACTTTCTGATCATTAGAGCAATTCCACAATGGAACGGCTGCTTTTCAAAACGATGAATCTTGCAAGTGCCAAGAGAACAATGAACTCCTTCCTGTCTTTTACTTTTTCTAATGTTCTTTCTCCATATTCCTTTG